CCTCCATCGTTTTAACAATGTTAAATCTGAGTTGCATGGCTCTTCGTTTTTATCAGTTTTTGTGACATGGTGTAATATTGAAGCCCTAAAAAAAATTGCACCTTAAAATGATCATGAAGTGCCTCAAAAAAGTAAAAATCTTTGAGTGACCGGTTTTACCATGTTCATTTTCCCCACGTTCATTTTCCCCAATAGACTGTAGTGTTATAAAAACCATTATGATAACGAGAAATGAAATTTCTATTTCTCAATCATAAATATCTTGATAATCAGATAGACGATCGGCTTGTAAAAGTCATTGGTTTCCTGACTGACCTAAAGGTTTATAATTATGATTGCAGCATATGCTACCGAGTCACTTTAAATATTAAAGAGAGAGAGAGAGTGAAGAACCCCTTTAAATCGATTTACATTGTACCAGCCAGCTTGAAACCTTAACAAGGGTCGTATCATTTTTCAGAGTTTGATCAAATTTTCACTTCATATAACCTAATTTTTTTTTTGCTGGTAGGCTTCTGAGAGTAATAAACATATGCAGCATAGAATGATACTAGGATAACATACTGTACTAAATGTTTTCTTACTTCACTTGGATGCTTGGATCTACTGATGTCTATACGACAGTGTCTGTTTGTTGATCAGTCATTTTATCAGATTCTATTGTTCCTCCATTGTCTTTGATGCTTGGTTATTTTCTGTGCCTAGCATAATGTCTTCTGATGAACAGGAATTGGAGGTTTGTACATATACACCATTTCATTCTTTTTTCTGCCATTTTTTTTTATCTTGCTTCATGTTTGAAATGTTGACTGAGGGTCCTGTTAATAACTCCATGCACTTCCCTGGAAGGGAGGCTGTTCTTTTATACGCTTAGAGAAAAAGGCCCGAATTCACAAAGCAAGGTTTGAGCTCAAACCTCCTTTTGTTTCGCCAAACCTCCTTTTGTTCTTTACAAACCAGGTTTGTAAAAAACGCGTAAAACGCGTCATATGACGTACGAAAACCAAGGTTTGTCGACAAACCTCCTTTGTGAATTCGGGCCAAAGTGTTTATATTGACATTTGAAAAGGTTCCATTTATATTTCATCCTACATCACATGTACTACTATTGTAATTATCATCCTATTATCCAATTGTCTGGTTATTATCATTAGCTAGATTAGATACATTTAATTACTAGATAATATATATATATATTTATCAGATTATATGGGAAAAAGTTGTTATGTTGTTAATATTGATTTTACCAGACTACATGTACAAGGAAACCAATTTATGAATATTGATAGGCAACATGTTACCTACATGTACATGTACATGTATAGCTCTTTGGCATGAATGAGGGACACGATGATTTAGGATCAATGTCATATTAAAAGGCACTTGTGCATCTACTTGGATTTGAACCCGAGACCTCCCTCTTACAAAACAACTGCTCTACCACAGGGCCACCATGGTTACACATGGGAGTGTGGAAGCGCCTGTTTTTGGAATGAAAAGAATAACATATTTGAATTACAGAAATTGTGCCAAATGGAATATGATACAATTGACATCAGCTACCTTTACTGGTTGGATGTTCATAAATAGAATGATCTAATTATCACTTGAGAAGATGTCCTGCTGCTTCCTATCGGGTGTTCTAAGATGTAGGATCATAAACAGATAACTAGGGGCATTGCAAAGGGCTTGGGGGGGGGGGGACCTCCCCATTCAAAGTGTTAAAATTTTTGGCTGTCTTGTCAGAAATTTTGGATTGACACTCCCACCATTGGAAAGGGTATAGCGGCACCCTGGATCCTAAGCCAAATCAACGTGGGCTCAGATAGAAAAAATGGGCCTTGACGAACGGGCCAAGGTTGACAATTGTGGACATTTTTTATTATTGTGACAACTTCAATCAGGCAAAATATATCTCAAGATATCTGGCAAGGAATCATTTTCCAGAGATGAACAGCAAAATAAAGACATGTATACCGTAGATAGACTTGGACAGTGACATGAAGGTAGCGAATTTTCAAAAACAGTAGGCTTTATAAAGCTTGTTAAACTGGCTACATAATTCTGCATTTGACACAGCTTGTCATAATTGAAGACCCCCCCCCCCCCAGCATACTGTTGTATACATGTAGGTTCAGATGAAAATTAAAAATGATATTTCTCTGGAGAAATAATCCATTCTTTATTTCTGACTTCTACCACTCTCAATAATAACCAGTCGATGGTTTGACCAACACTGTGATTCTAATAATATTTTTGCTGGATCAAATAGTCATTGAAATATCATATTATTCTGATTTTAAATCATTTTGACAACTCCCAATACTTCATCCTCTCGGGCTAGCCGAGAGTGTTTGTACATATTGGGGTCAATTTCAAGAGAGCGAAGGTCATACTCTCCTGACCCCTCCCAAGAATTGAAGAAGTATATCAGGGAGCTACAAATTTTCTGCCCTAAAGAAATAAACAGTAACAGAATGATTGAATTAGAGAAAGTGATATGTGACAAGAAACTGGATTTTACTAACTTTAATAACGAGTACCGGTAGGCTATTTATTTCATATTTTGTACATTTTTATTTGTGCTGTGGAGTTTTATCCTGCCATTTCATCGGTCAAAATGCATGGCATTTCTAACACAGAATGATAATGATTACTCCTTCACATTTGAATATGCCATGCTGTCAGATTAGATTGACTAGCCAATGCGGAAATGCTCTAGGAAACAGGGGAAAGTGGGTCTTTCATGTGTAATCTGGACCCCTCCCCTTACCCTAGGGCGACATCTAAGAAAATACAACTGACATTTTGTGGGACGGTCCACGTATTTTTATTTTGCTGCTTGCCGATTGACGGGTGATATCCCCAGCTAATCTATGACAAGCGAGACATGTCCCAGCTCCTGTTTTTGAGGCCAAAACGTCTTATTTCTTGCGTCCTGTCGTCATGTTTCTCACTCGACAGGGAGGGGCAGGGTGGATTAATAGGATGTGATTGCGTTCCTTTCATTTGATGAATTACATCCGGGATTCTGATGGGGGCGGACTTTACGCCCAAAGGGTCCCCTCCAGAAATTCTCTTTTGCTACCGAGTACTTGGGTTTCATAAGAAAACATACAGCTAGAACAACTATCAGTGTAGAGCTTGTATTAGGGAGGATTATGCCTTCAAATCTGAAGGCTTATACATGTTTGCTATACAATATACAAGCTGTGAATGAAATTTTTCTTGTTTTTGTTGTTGAATTGATTTAGAAACTAAAGACTATCTTGGAGTATTAATGTCTTGTTATTTTTTTTAATGTGACCCTGTACAACAAAACCACCAAAAAGTCGCCAGAAAAGGCTTCTAGTTTAGGTTCTCAGCTTTAAAATGATATTTTACTCATCGCAACTGGGTGTCCCTTACTCAATTTATAAAGAGAAGAATGTGTAGCCCCATGGAAAGGACTCTGACTCCAAAAGGCGTCATGCAAGGTGACAAAAGGAGGATTAAAACTGTTGAGCAATTTCTGTGAAGGGATAATCAGATTGTCCTAAAAACTTGGCACACCACTTATCACATCCTGTTCTATATTCCTTCAAAAGATCAATGTGATGACTTACCATGTTTTATAGTTAAATGAGACCAGTAGCAAGGGTCATAAATCAATAAAAACTATCATAATAAAAAATCGATATCAGAAAACATAATGTATATCTACCAAAATGCTACTTTTAGAGTGTTTTGTGCTTTTAAACCTTTAGTTTAGGGCTGATTTTTGAAAGGTGGCCATTCTCTTCAATTGGCTCCCACTTGATCATCTGCAGCTTGGAAAAATAAAATTTTTGAATAACATTTGATAAAAATTTAGTTTAAACAATCCAGATGTGGGGCTAAATGTACACAACAGCCCTGGCCTGAGACCTGTTTCACAAAGCCTTTTGTCAAAGACAAATGACAAAAATCAGTGACAAATCTGTTGATAACCAATCAGAAGCAAGGATTTCAGTAGCTTATAACAAAAATTATCATTTGTCACTGATGACAAGTTTTGTGAAACACCCCCCTGGTGTGTGTCAGTCTAGGAATAGATGTCATCATGGACTGGTGGAAACCATCAACAAAAACAAAAACATTGTCCTGCAACTAGCAAGAGAGGGCAGTGTGTAGGTCTGTCATTTGGCAAGGCATTGATTTACATTTGCCACTCAATACCCAAGAGAGAAATGGGGACCTGACCCGGTAGGATGAAGAAAGCATTTGTGTGCCATGCATTCATGGTGACCATATGGTAGGAATACTCCTCAAGGAGTGGAGATGGTGCACATTGTGTGTGAATGAATCCAATGACCGAGGTCATAATATCTGTAAAGCACTTGGAGACAGTATTCCATATTGAGTGCTATATAAATCCAGATTATTATTATATGCCTATCTATCTGGTTGGTTAGTATATTTTCAAATAGAAAACTTATTCCAATCCCCTTTCTGTTTTTTTTTTTTTTTTTTTTTTTTGGGGGGGGGTGTAGGTTAGTTAGTGGCTATCCGTCATTTGTATTTGTACAATTGGCAGATGGTTATCATGATCTTTGATTCAATGTATTTTATTAAATATTGTGAAATGTGAAACCAGCCTCTCTTGTAAACCATAACCTGCTCAAGGCTGATTCTTCATTTGTTTTTAATAGACGTTAAAATCAGTACTTGTACCAAAACTGAAAACAATTCACTGCAGCTAATTACAAGTGTAATTTTTCTTTTTATATTGATCTTTCCCCTGTGAGTGCACTAGAAAATGAAGTGCAAGAAGAAGTGTCAGACTTTCCTTGTTCACACTTCGTCTTGTCCTGCAATGAGCTGTAAAAAGCACCACTAAAGATGAATAGAAGTGCAAACAAGCCTATAAACTGGTTCACAACACACAGAGTTAAAATCAGAGTGCACACATGATCGAAGCACCTGTACTACTGAGTCTGCATGTGTTTCTGTGATCAATAGCATGTGAATAGGGGACCCCAGTGCATAGTCCTGCAAGCACGTACACACACACACGTAACACACAAATGTGTGGGATGGGCTTACAGCTAGTGAATGGATAGAAAGGAACCGCATGCAATGATCATCACCAGCTCTACACTACTTGAATAGTAAGGAGAGTAGAGCCTGAAGAGAGAAGAAGTACGCATCGGACTCTGAGCGCCAGACACCGACGGACGAGTGCTCATTCGAATCCTCTTTGGAATACCTGGCACAATCGGTGCACTGTTCGTGTGCCCTCCAGCGCGGAATCTGTGGCCTCGTTTTTGGTTGTGACTGACAAGCTGTCTTGTGTTTACAGCCCTCCCACTTTTATACTTCTCTTGAACGATTGGTGCTTGTTGTGGTTTTTCTGCTTTGTGACACAGGGAATACCCATTCCACAGACCTGACTCAAGTCCCCTCTATCACATATTACTGAAGGTACATGTACAGTGTATACCTGACCCCCCCCCCCCCATCTGACTGTTGCTGCATTTGATAGCGTTAACTGCGACATTCGTTTCGGACAGTTACAGGGCATACCGATAGGATCACTCACTAAAAGCCTCCTCTGCTACTCCGTGGGAAGGATGACTGAGCGGACAATTCTTGGTATGAGTACACCATGCTGACGAAACAAGGATCAGCTGTCAGGGGTTATTACCATTGATAAATCACATAGGCATGCAGGACTTGAGTGGGAGAGCTGGATGACCACACCAACTTTAAAACTGAATTCATTTTGAGTTTCTATTTTGAATGAGTGCTGATGCTACTCAACTTGCTCATCTCGCATTATCATCAAGTGGACAAGTTCTGGAAGAACAGTATTCCTGACCAGTCCAGATTTCTTTCACATTTTGTAAAGTTCACCTTTTGATTCACTTTGTAGAAGTTAGGAGAGTTTGGTAGAATTCATTCACATTCATAACCTGATACTCTGGTATGCTGAAGTGAGACCTGAGGAATTATTTGTTTGAATTGGATCTTTAGCATCTTTCTGGATTCTTTTATTGGATTTAAAACCCCTCATTATTAGCACAATGGAGAGTTCTGGAAGGGGCTCATTCTTTTCCAAAAGCAAGGTTTGTATATCCTATTTTCAACTTTGAATAGGAACTGCACAAAAGTTACTTTTCAGTGATTCTACTGAAAAGGTTCTTTCCAATACTATTCTCAGAAGGCGAATTTAAACTTTTCAAGTATATTTAACTAAAAAAGTTTTGTATCTTCATAACTGTTTGGTTCAAAACATCACATGAAATATATGTCAGTCCATCTTTGACCAGTCCATGTAACACTTGCTTAAAAATATATACATGTAAATACTACAGTAGCATAAATATACTTTTTTTTTGGGGGGGGGGAAGCTGTTTTGATGTTTTCTAGAGAAGAATAAAACCATTTGGATCATTGTGTATTGTATAATTTGTATTTATTTATTTTTTACCAAAGCTCTTTTGGCGCTGCTAGAGCGGAATTTTTCAGTGCTCCTAGTGCCCTGCATGTACAACATGTACATGTACATGTAACTCGGCTCATTTTATCACCTATTCTGTTTGATAAGCGTGTTTTTACAATAGGATATTTTACCAAAGCGTCAGGCCTACTGATCATGCATGGATGACTTCTAAATGTGTGTTTATTGTCGTAAAAATATATGCGCATGCCACATGAATACACAATAGCAGTGAAATCCATTTTTGATTTGGGTGATTTCTGAGGATTGTTTGAATTACCTTGGACTAAGGATACTGTAAACAGCCAATAAAGGTTTCAAACAATCTCATTACAATGTCTTTCTTATTGTTCCCTCGGCCATGACCATGGAATGCTTGAAGGACAAACAGCAGGATAAACATAACAGTTATCACAATAATGACTACATGTATATGAACTTGGATCTAGTTTACTTAGTGGTTGAAAATAATGTATTAGTCATGTTTTAGAATTGTTATTGATTGTACTTCTTTATGAAATAAACTTGCAAGTCCATGGACGACTTGATTGACATACAGGGGGAGGTAACAATATTAATCGCAGGAAGTTTGGAACTAAACATTCAATAGGGGTTGGGGTGAAAATGGGAGATTGTGTTTTGTTTATATTTTTTAATTGCTGAATATATTATCAACTGAAATTAAAAGTCATTGAGATTGAAGTGCCAAACAAGGATTTGTGGTGATCAAAGTAATTTGTACACATGAACAGGTATATAAATGTAAGCCTACTCCTTGATGTAACATAAAAACCGAATGGAATTTACTCAAATAATTCTCTTTCCTGTGAATAAAAACTATTTAAATGTCCATGTGAAAGTCATAGGAATGCTGTGATAGTAGAAAAGTTTTTTTTGGAAAATGTTTTATATTTTTACCTCTCTGCATGAGTCACTATATTGGCAGTAGGTGATTGTTGACTTGATATACATGTACACCTGAAGTGGACAAGGAGCACGAGCAGTTTGGGGACCTGAACACTAATTGATACACATGTGTATTCACTAGTCTTCTCAATGTGCTCAAACTTGCATTGATCCTCTTCAATTGAATTAAGAACAACATAATCAATTTTATTGGATTATGGGGTAATTCACCCTTAGATCAAATTGTAGTTTAGCTGTTTCCATGCAAACCTAATTTGGTTTATTTGCCTATAAATGAATATTTGGATTTCACAAAGAGAGCAGACTTTGTTAAACCTTAGTCACTGTTTACATGGGGGAACTACTGTACATTTAAGATGATGTCATAGAATTATGTAAATAACTCATGTTTGTACTATATTTCCCATGGTAATGCACCAATTACATACCGGTACATATGTACTGTGTAAACTTCCAGCCACTATAGCCACTACCGTATTTATTTTGGAAATACTAAATAGTCATGGAAAGAACTTGTACATTGGGGGGGGGGGGAATTTTATGTGAAATAGTTTGACATTGCATGAGACAGTTTGTTGATTTAACATGTGGAAATACACGTACACATGTACATGTAGATATTGAAGAATGAGCTCAAAAGTTGATGGGGACCAAGACATGTTCACATGGAGATTGTATCAAATGATTTGTTTTGAAATTACACTTAGGAAATCATTGATTTTAGGATTATTTATACTTCAATAGTTATATGAATAATTTTTTTTATTACCGGTACTTTTATTGACAATGATCATGATTTTCACTGATAATTTGTTTTTGTTTTTGTTTTGTTGGGAATGTTTTTCTTACATTCTATTGGTGTGCTAAGTCAATGGACAATGCAACTGTTTTCATTACTATTTCGAGTTCCTATTGGTATTGAAGATTTTAGTGTTAGTCTTATCAGAGCTAAAGTTGGGGGGGGGGGGGGGGGGGGAGAGTTGTGTGGTCCAGAATTTCATATGCCTACCTTATAATCTAAAATTATCTGACATGCATGTTTCCTTTTGTAAGTTAAAATGACACTTGGTTTCAGGAATTGGGGGGGGGGGGGGAGGAGGGATGGATGGATGGAGGCTGGTTGTGCCCCCCCCCCCCTTATCTGCCTGTGGTTATTATAGGTACAGCGTACATGTATGATCATCACTGGAAACAGTCTGAGGGGTGGGGTATACATGTGTAGTAAGGGGAAACAATCAATCGATGATACTGGTATGTGAACGTATAACGTAGCAGCTGGACAGTATAGACATACCGACTGAGGGTTACATCAACAACTGCCTTAATTCATCACAATTCAGTTGATGAGACACAAATAGACATCTCATATTGATACTTCTCCATGTATTGTTATTGTTTTTATTGTTATGATAACCACTCCCACTTCTATCATGTACATGTACTGTACTACTGTAGTGTATGCCTCCATCCCTCGCATATACATGTAATTCAGTTTCCTACTCTCAGGTAGAAAGTGTCAACATGAAATTGCTCAATTTCATAATGGAATGAAACTTGTCCATTCAAAGAAAGCATTGATATTTCAATAATAATGATAGTGGGTTCTTGTATAGCGCTCATGTCTGTCAGACTTGACACTCCTGGCGCTTATTACCGCGGCTTTAGCATGTTTGCCATTATTACACTCTAGCATTTCAACTAAATAATTCCTGCCAGCCAGGTACCCATTTACCTCACCTGGGTCGAGTGTGGCAATGTTTAATGTCTTGCCAAGGATATTAGTGCCGCCTTCCCACTTGAACCGCGTACCACATCCTCCACAGTCCAGTGATGCATCCACTATTAAAGACCACGATACCTCTACATTTCAAATGTTATAATAATAATAATAATAATAATAATAATAATAATAATAGCCTAATAGTCCACTCCAAATTATATTAAACTGAAACAGAAATTCTTTTTGCCCAATTGATCGTGAGCCCGGCAGCCACCGAGTGGCACCAGATCGACGTTGCTCTATCCCTTATTGTTGAACGCCAAACAAGGTAGCAACAACTCCCATCTTTTAACGTCTTTTGGTATGTCGCGGCCGGGGTTCGAACCCACGACCTCCCGGTTGTGAGGCGGACGCTCTACTAACTGAGCCAACACTCCGGTATTTAAAAAAAAAAAAGCATAATATAGCCATTGACTGAAAATCTTGTCCCCTTTTATTTTGTTAACATCCAGTGAAGCAAGGATCAGTAATGATTAGTGCTGTAACATCACGGATATCTCCAATTCCGTTTAACCGCCAGTCAAAACCGGACGGTTTTCGGTTAAACGATTTTTAAAATTTTTTTTAAAAAAATTAAAAAAAAAAAAAAAAAAAAAAAAAAAAAAAAAAAAATCATTTTTTTTTTTTTTTTTTTTTTTTTACCGACTCTGTCGGCAACTTTCATTTAACTGCGAGGTGCATTTAAAGGAGCCGATTTGTGCTTGTGAACTTGTCACAAATAATAGTAACAATGTTATTTTTAGAAGAATGTGTAAGATCATTATGTAAATTAAAAACAGTAGAGGACCTAGGACAGAACCTTGTGTAAAAGTTGGATGAATTATTATTATAAACTACATATTGAGATGATGAGATCTATTACAAAGATTACTTTCAAACCAAGATGACAGACAAATTGGAGTGTTGTTCTAGTTTTGGAGTGGTGAGTCAACACACAGATTACTGAGCTGTGAGACATTGCCAGGCATAGTGCCAGGTGGAGGGGCATAAATCGAAACTTTAAAAAAAAAAAAAAAAAAAAAAAAAAATCGGGAAAACGAAACCGTCCAATTGAAAACGGAATCCGCCATGGGCGGTCGGATACCGGACGGTTAAACGTTTGACTACAGCACTAGTAATGATATTATTTTCAAAGATTAAAGCCCATGCTCAATTGCTCATATATTCACAAGTGACCCCAAATTCTAGCAAAACTAGCAATCATTCCTTTTCCCATGTAAGTTTTAATAGATGTTAATCTCCACGTTCTTGACCATTTCCTAGAATGATGACCCCATAACCAAAAAAAGAGTACATGTATAAATAAAGTGTTGACTGTTGCTGTCAGTATTATGCAATATACGCCGTAGAATATACATGTACTTCACTGTTTTGATGTGATGTTTCTTAGCTCAACGTAGTATTTACACTGTGAGTTGGTTATGCACAGTAGATGTTTAGTGTGTGTTTTACTCTCTTATCATCGCGTTTTATCTCTACCAAGAATCTTTTTATATGCTGGTAAGAGTTCTGTTCAGACAATCTCCATTTGGATAAACGTTCAAATGGAATCAGATGCAGTATCAACAGATGCAGTATCTTCCCAATAACATATTTTTGGCATACATGTACATGTATGAAATAGAATACTTGATAGGAAGATTATATAACAATTATGAATTTTGTTGTTAAAGTTCTTGAAGGCATCAGTTGTGAAGCATGTTAAGGATTATTTGGTTTAACAATAGAAAATCATGCATTATGTACATGTATATGTAGGCCTTAAGATTATTTCTTTATAAATGCGTCATGGCCTTCACAATTTGCCTTGGTTTCCACAAAACTTTCACTTTATTTTTAGCTTTACATAAATTCATTAAATATCTTAGCTTCTAATACCCTTTGCCCTTAAGTCTGCTTTTAATATTTGGTGTTGTGTC